CTGCTCTCCTTCCTATATGGAAGTGGCAGCCCCTGCATTGCTGCGTGTGGCCTGGCGGGAATCTTCTAGTAGCTTCCTGTTGGGCCCCAGTTCCTGCGCCCAGGCCCGAGAGTACATTGGGCATGGCCTGAGTCTCCAGACTTGGGCCGTTTGCTACATTTTTTACACAGGCCCCCCGGGTAGGTACGTCGACAGTACTGCTTTTGCATAGGCCTCTGGCCACTTCATGATGTATCAGCCCTGCTTTGTGTGTATGCGCCCAGGCGCAACTGCCAAGGCCTGGGTGAACTGTACGACGCAGCTTAGGGAGGCTCGCTCGTCCACTGAACCAACTGGCGTGCTGCAAGAGCCTGAATACCCATTTATGAAATAATGACAAATTTTGGCCTCTGATTAATATTCAGGCCCGCCTTCACTTAGGGCGGGCACGATGCTTGCCGGGGGCCTCTGCCCAGAACATGTGTATGTCTGGTAGGGGCCCCATGTGGACTCATTCCTCGCACCTGGTAGTAGAACCTGGAACACGACAGGTATAGTACGTGTATCCCGCCGTGTTTGTCTTCTATCATCAGCTGTGCCTTTCACCACTATCTGATCCGCTCATCAGCTAGGCAGACACTGTCTGCACTAATGCCCTTTGAGGGGCCTACCACAGCATGTGTCTAACTGAGTTGAAAAATAAATAAAAATAAAATATTATTCGACAACTCACCTAGGCTACTATTCAAGCGGTATCAACAACATATACACAAACTATACACATGATCTAATCCTATCTTGATTTGTTTCACTCACAGAAGCTTCAATGAGAACTGGCTACGGTAAAACACTTCAGTACTAATCTAAGCTGTCTGTTAGGTGTTAGCAGTCTGTCCACCAACTAATCAAAAATAAAAATAAATCATGTGAGCAGATGTATGAACAATGGATATGTTTGTGAATTACAGTTGAGCACAGTGCTGAAACCCCGGTAGGACCGGGGGGTCCTCCCCCAACCGGAACCGGACCGGTCCTACCGGCCGGTCGACCGGGCCGGTTCCCCCCCGGTTGGTTGTAGCGTTTTTTTTTTTTTTTTTTTTTTTTTTTTTTTTTTT